GACCATTTCCTTAAATTAAGGACATTAGAAAGGTGTCTTTTACAAAGGTGTTTCCTTAAAGGTAGAAAAGGGTTTTTAATTCAAGAGTATGTTCCCTTACAAGGAGGATACCAGGTTGCCTTGATAGAGAAAAGACGATTACTTAAAAGTAGTAGAAAAAGTTCTTAATTCAGGAGTACAATTCCTTCAAAAGAGGACTGTTTGAAACCTCATTTAAACAGGTCATTACTTAAAAGTAACATAATATGTTCTTAATTCAAGTGAGTTTTGCCTTAAAATGAGGGCAGTTGGGTACCTCATTTTAAAAACAGTACTTACTTAAATTAAGGGTAGTAGTCTTTTAATTCAAGAGTACATGCCCTTGAAGTGAGGGCTCCCAGGGTACCTCGTTTCAAGGGAGGTGTTCCTTACCCATCTGACGCAAATTTAAGTGCTATTTCCCCTTAATTTAGGTAATTCCTTTTTGTAGTGTTCATAAATAAACCAGCAAGCTTCACGTAGACATATATATTAAAATACACCTTCTCGAGTTAAGTGACAGTAATCCTTGTCATTGTTGACTTGTTCCTATATAAGTACTTTCTTGGAAGTTTGTAGAGGGGATTTTCTGGCATGATTCATGGACCAAAGAAATAACTTCTACGAATTACGGATACTAAAATGTCATTTCAGGTTCAGTTATTGGTTATCAATTTGAGTTTTTCTCGGGCACGATCCACCTTTGGTCACAGGGCACTAAATAATTATCTTATTGAATTCAGGATTCATGACTTTTATGAAAGCACCCCTGTACGGCCCTCTTTCTAGTTGAACGTCACGTTGGTGACAGTTCCAAGTGTGTATTGGAAGCCATTAATTCTCTTATACCAAGAGAGAAGTTCAAATGAATGCTGCCACTCTGTAAAGGCAACTTGGGCTCCACTGTTCCCATGAAAATGACTGTCTAAAAGAAAAATTCCCTGTGTTGTTGGAATAAAGACAACTGTGTTGGACCGTAAAATAAATACTGATGT